ACACACACACACACACACACACACACACACACACACACACACACACACAGGGTGTCACATTATTGTACTGTTCGTGAACAATGTATATAATGTATCTTGCATTTGACTTTAACTTGAGTCATATCACAAGTTAGCAGTAGAAAAAGTTGAACCATGTCATTTTGAGATATACAAAGAATGTGATTGTGGAAATACTGTCTTTGCATGGTGATCAATACATTTCACATACAACATTTTTGTTGATTCATAGTATGGACATAAACAGTATTCCAACCAGCTCTACATCAGATCAAGTGGTTGGAATACTTTCATGTTGTTGTGCCACTGGACTCACCTGCAGTCTTTTGTTTCTTGAGGGGGGCCTGGTTGGAGGGAGGACCCAGTACTCCTGATGGTACAACAACCTGAGCTGTTGGCACAGAGATGATGGCTGGGGAGCCCTGTGTTGCCATGGAAACAGTAACTATGGCTTTTTTGATGACCCTCTTGGGCCCATCAGAGGAAGTGGGAAGAGCTCCGTCTTCATACAGCTTCCTCTTCACTGTGCTCTTTGTCAGACCGCTGCAGGGAAGATGGGGACTAAAGTAACTTTATCTGATTTACGGTACAGCAGGTTAACAGGGGCAAAATTGTCAAGATGTTGACTTGGGTGGTGTGGAAGTTTCCAGAAATACTGTTTGCATGCAGCTATTACAGATAATACCAGTGTGGATACTGTGAACCCACCGGCTGAGAGGTTTGACTAGCAGTTTTTAACCCAAAAACTTTTAAAAAAAATTAAACAGAACTCACAGCTGAAAAACATATTTTCAAAAACTGCAAAATCCATCTGCAGTAATGGTCAGTCACCATTTGACTGTATTATATGTATTCATATGTGTGTTTGTTTCTCTCTTCAGACAAATTTCAGGTTAAAAACCGGTTAATTAGGGAGACATTGTCTAATTGAGAGCAAAGCTGTGACACTAACTAGGAAAAAGATGACTTAGGAGTCAGTGGAGAAGTTAAGTAATTGTTGGGATTTGTCTTCTAGAAAGTATATTAACACTATTGTCCCCAAAAGTGATAATATGTGTGCTTTACCTTGCAGGACTGGAGTCTGCCACTGGGTGAAGCTGCATGGTGAGCTCTCCTAGTTTAGTGAAAGCAGCCCCAGCTGCAGAGAAGATCTCCCCAACCTATCACACAGACACACACAGACACACACACAGGAATAAAGCAGGTCTCACATAGATTGCCTTATTCAACAGTAGGTGGATGCAGATATTTGTGATTAGAACAACATAGGCATTTGTGTCTTTCCAATAAAAGTTGGAACTTGGCTGAAGGTACACAAGAGCACTGATGTTTGGTGATATGGTCTATCTCATGGTCAGTGATCCAGTTCACCCTGCAGGTGTCAAAATTCACCTGAAGCTCTGGAGGTCCCTCCATCTGCATAGTGCTGAGTACTTATGAGCAGAAACATTTTTTCGCTGAACTATCCCTTTAAGAGTATCAATGGCTGTCATATATACAAAACCATAACCCACATTATAAGGTTAATATCATTACAATGTAAAGAGATCCTGAATCCATTACTTGATATCGACTGGTTTTGGTGCGTCCACAACGAACGCAGCACGAGTTGTGATCACATATGCAAAGATGCATTAAAACGTAGCGTCAATCGCGCCAGTTTAAATATTAAAACTAGCGAGTCAGCTCTTCCCCCCACTACTTCCACAACATGTACAACGCAGCTACGATGGTTTAGCCAGTCGCCTCCCCCTCTTCTGGAGAACAGGTATGATCCCCGGTTGTGTTTATTCGCGTTGTAGGAGCGTTACGCGCGAATAAACACAAATGGTCGCGTTCGGTGTGAACGCATAGCTCGAGCGTCTATGTACACAAACTAAGTTATCGTTCACACCAGGAGGCGACCCCCGCGTGGTTCATATGTAAGAACAACTTACTTTAGTGGAGGCTGAAGTCATTTCATTGATCTATGTGTTGCCACAGGCGGTTTGTTGTCTACGAGTTGGACCCACGGATGCTCTCAAACTGGAACGACGATGCTAACAGCGTAGCTGGGCTACATCTGCTGCTCCTCCTGATGTAGCATAGCGCGGCTACAGGTCTGCTCATCCGTGCTTTCAATCTCTTTGCCTGGAGCAGTCCGGCAATCGAACCTCCTGGTACATAGTGCGAATAAAGTTCTATCTACGAGTGAAAAACATCAACGCTGCAGACACACAGCTCACTTCACCTCGTCAACACAACCACAAGGTTTATGCTGCCTTCAAGGTCTCCTCGTATTCTCTATGCTCGACGTCAATACAAACGAACACTGGCCTGTATGGAACTAAATTCATGCTAAAACTTAACAAACAAAACGTATTTTAGTAATTCCCTACCTTTCACTTGCAAACAGCAAATACAAAACTCCATTAACAAACTACTGCATTTTGTTCCACAAATAAAAAAGGCACTTAAAGGCCCAGTGTGTAGAATTTAGTGATATCTAGTGTTGAAATTGCATGTTGCAGCTGAACACCCCTCACCTCACCCTCTGCTTCCAAACATGATAAAGAACATGTGGTAGCTTCAGTTGTCATAAGTTTTGTCAAAACTCAAAAGGTGTTTAGTTTGTCTAGTCTGGACTAATGTAAAAAACATGGGGTAAAGAAAACTACACTTCATACAATTTCGATGAAACAAACTAGTGTAAACATCATGAGAATTATTCTACATTAAATTTCTGCCAATAGTTCCCTTTCACCTAAATCTTACACACTGGACCTTTAACGAACAAATGCAGTACAGATAGCCTTCCACATTTCATAGTACAAAAAAATGTGTCCTGCATGTGCAAAAAAATGGAATCTTACATGTATTCCATTATTTTTCCGCTTTTGTCATTCTGATGATTCTCCCACAATAGTAGGTGGTGCTGTGAGCCAATTTACAGACACCAGGAAGTCAAGAGTCAGGAGATTTAACCCGATTGACTGCAACCACCAGCCAAAGGATTGGAGCAACTTCGTGGTGTAGAAGTAGCAGGCGAGAAAAATCAATAAAAAGTTTTTTTCTTCCATTCTTTGTTATTT